CAACGTCCACATTAGTTTAAGAGACTCCGTTGGAGTATAAATTTCAGCGGCGTAAAAGTTAGAATGCCATGTATAAGTCCTAGGCCGAATTGGGCCTTAATATCATACCAAGGGAAATTTAGGAAAATAAGATTTTGAAGATTTAATAAATTAATCTTTATTATCCTTTAGTAAAGGAAAGGAATATATGCCTTATGGAAATGGTTAGATTTTCCTTCATAAGTTGCTAAAATAAAATAGCAAATAATAGTTAATCTCACACTCTTAATGGGTGTTCAGTTTCAGAAGAAAGCAAGAGACTAGGCTGATAGGCGAAAAAGGGATTCCAGCTTTGAAAATCAAGTAAGTAGGAATCTCGCCTACAGTATAAATAGATTTTAAAGTAAACAGTACACATGAACTATATATGTTTGAGTACATTTAATGTTATGAATGCTATGCTATGTTATACTACATACACTTAGGCAGTACACCCGAATTATATGTGTTCGAGTACATGATATAGTATGCTATGCTAGGTCATATTGCATACAACTTAATAAGTCAAGAGGAACTTATAAGAGTAATCTCAGTTGAGTGCCGTACCAGCCTCCACAAGGGAGGTAACTCAAGCTCCACAAGGGAGAAAATAATAATAATAATAATAATGATGTCCTCCGACTCAAGGGAGGTATTCAAGTTATAATCACGGTGTCATGGGGGACCTTGCAAACCCTCACGTTCCGATGATTGCGCGCAAGTGGTACGAGCACTCTGGCCCATCAGTAAGAAAGATAAGATAAGATAATAAGATTCTGATAAGACATCATAATTAAGCATAATTGGCTCATGCATATTTATTCATGTGAACTTACAGTTATTTTGCGGGAGATAGTTCCTACTTGCTGAGCGAAAGCTCATTATAGAATGTTTATACTGTAGGTAAGCAACCGGCATATAATGCCTGATGGACTGCTGGCGAGTGGACGAACGATGTGGGGCTCGGGATATGGATACCACTCGCAAATATTTCCGCAATCAGCTTTATGTTACAAATAGTTTTGTTAATTATGATTATGAAACAGATATGTTAAGGTTTGAATATTTTAATTAAGAAAGCAATTTCGTATTTTATGTTTATAATAAGACCTTTTAAAAAAAAAAAAAAATTTCCGTAAATTTTAAGAAATTTCAGTAAGTACAAGTTAAAAAGTTAGTTACAGTGGCGGCCTCAAAGGAGGGTCGCTACAATAATTGGGTACTAAAATAATAAATATAAATTGTACAATTATTTAAAATACAAAAATAAATTTTAAAAAAATTTAAATAAAATAAATAAAAATAAAAAATAGTGTTAAAAAAATATATTTTTAATTTCTTTAAAAATAAAGTACATATTTATTATATTAAAGTTAACATTAATTATGCTAATATTATACTATTAGGCAAATAAAATAATAAATATATGTCGCATTTATTATTTTTTGAATTTTATTTTGAATTGTGTATTTATAAGTAAAATAAGAGTATGATAGTAAATTAATATTAATATTAGGAATGAGAGTCTCAATCCCAAAGGGGGCATGGGTGTGCCAATCTCATTTCAGGATAAAAAAGAGTAAGTAAACATGTTTTTGACTCTCATTTTCTACTCTCATTCTTCGATCCTGGTAAGTAAACATTACCGTCGTTTCTAATAGAGTGATACGCGTATATGGAAAACAAAAAAAACAAAAAAAAAAAGAAAGAAAGAACGAAAGAAAGAAAGCGTAAAGAAAATGGGAGAGAGAATAATGAGAGAGAAAGTGTAGAGATAGATTGAGTAGAGCGAAATTGAAGTTAGAAAAATAAAATAAAGAGAGAAAGTGTTTGTTAGAATGTCTAGTTGTAGAGCTTTGTCTTTTCTGATTCTAAAGTCGTTCTCGCAGGGAGTTTTTCATTGTCGTAATTAAGGGGTCATTGTTGTTTTGGGTGTCGTTTATTTACTTGCTATTGTTTTTTAGGTATGTTGTCGTTTACAAGTCATGATTATCGTTTTAGCAAATATTGTCGTTTATCTAGCATTGGGAAATTGTACGTACCTTCCCTTGTGAGCTTTTGACTTTTCTATTGGCAAAACAGCTGTCTAGTTTTCAAGTCAACTCCATATATCTTGTATCTCTACATAACTAACTAAGCGGATTTTTAAGTTTCATAGACACAAATTGCTTTCTAGTTTCTAGCTAGACACAATGGCAAGATCAAACCCCAACCATTTCAGGACCGACTTCTGCTTGGTCTTGGCAAACCAAGTCTTAGAAGACGAAGCCACAAAGGGCAATACTAATTCCAATATTGTGGTATCTCCTTTATCATTACACGTTATATTAAGCTTGGTTGCTGCAGCCTCAAAAGGGCATACTTTGGAACAACTGCTGTTCTTTTTGGGGTCAACAAGTGTTAGTGATTTAAGTTTGTTGACTTCACATATGTTCAATCTGACATCACTTGATGATCACGAGGAAAGTGAGGTTCTAAGTGCGGGTGATCATCTGCTCTTGTCTTTTGTTTATGGTGCTTGGATCGATCGGAGGTTCAATTTGAAGCCATCTTTTGAAAGGCTTGTCAAAGATCATTACAAAGCCGAGATCAGAAATGACATTGACTTTTTAAACGAGGTATTTCTTTTCCTATAAAACCTTATGTTTTTTTTTTTAAGACTTTTTTGACTCCCATTTGAGTCTTACATAATTCTTGAAGTAAATTGATAAGCATGCTATCCCTTGTGCTCAAACGGTCTTTCCCTGTTAGATCTCTTACTTTCAAGAAACGTTGACTTTGTAAACAAGCTAAGCGTTGACTTTTAAGAGTTTCGTTGCGTGAACTTATTGTGTCGTTTTAATAGCAGATGAACAATATATATATATATATAATATTTACCTATTAATGGGTATAATTGTTTTAGCCATAAGATATTAATCCAACAATTATAATAAATTATATAGTTGATTAAAAAAATTAATGATAATTAATGAAACTGAATTCTTATCACGTCAAGTTATTATATTTCTAAATATGGTGGTAACTACTGACAATTACATTCTCGTCCATATATGTGTGTGTATATATATATATATGTGTTTCTATAAAAAAAATAAGGATCTTTTTTCAGAAAAAAAAACAAGTAAAAGCATAGTACTATCTTAATTCTTATAAATGCTGGTTTCCGTACGTGAAGCCTCTAGAAGCAGTGGATGAAATCAATTCTTGGGCTGAAAAAGCAACCAAAGGACTCGTAACAAAACTCCTCCCTTATGATTCCGTAAACTGTGACACTGCACTTGTTCTTGCAAATGCACTTTACTTCAAAGCAAAATGGGAAAAAAAATTTGACGCGTCAAGGACTCAAGCCAGGAACTTTCACCTCCTCAATGGCCAAATTGTTCAAGCTCCGTTCATGACCACTGACAGTTTCTTAGGGAGATACCATCTATACAAATGTTTCGATGGCTTTAAGGTTCTTCAAATCCCCTACCAAAGTGGTCAGGATCCTCCAAAATTTTCCATGTACTTTTTCCTTCCAGACGCGAAGGACGGCCTCCTCAATCTAATCCAAAAGCTTAAATCAAATCCTGATTTGTTGTATAAAAAATTTGAGCTGACAGAAGACAAGCTCACTGATTTTTGGATTCCAAAATTCAAATTCTCGTTCGGTTTTAAAGCTTCGGACACAATGAGGAAAATGGGGCTTGAAAAAATTTTCAACCCCGGGGAGCTAACTGAGATGCTTAATATTCCTGATATTGCTAATCGGAAGCTCTTTGTTGCGTCAATATTTCACAAGTCTTACATTGAAGTTAACGAGGTAGGAACTGAAGCTGCGGCTAGCACTGCTGTATTATTTGAACTACAACGTGCAAGACGCTATCCCAGCTTTGTGGCTGACCATCCTTTCTTATTTATGATTAGAGAAGAGAGACATGGGATTGTTTTCTTTGTTGGAGCAGTGCTTAACCCTCTCCTGGATTCCTAATCCTCTACCCCTATTGACATATGGGAGATAATATATGTATTGCTCTATATTCATGGATTATGGATTGATGTTTTATTATAGCACTGTATTGTTTTAAGTTTGTTTTGAAGTTAAAACGTGATTTGATTTGTTAATCGCGATGCTCGTTGTAGGAAAATTAAAAGTTGGCATTTTTTTACTGTGAGACCTTAAAAAAACCTCCACCGGTATTACTTTTAACAGTTGAATTAATTTTTTAATGTATCATATTTGTAGTAGGAAAATTTTTAATACGGACATGTATAAATATAATTATTAAAAAATTAATCCACCGGTTGAATATAAGAGTTCTACCCATGGATTTTTTTTTTTGGGTTTCCACTGTAGAGGTTGCCCTTAAAAGTTATTTACCTGGTCTTAAAAATGCGACTTGATCTCTAGCACTGCTTTATTGTTTGGTTCATAGGGTTTAGGGTAAAAAATTTAAATAAAAATTTAAATGTTATAAGAAAATATTGTAATAAGAAGATTTAAGTAGTAATTTAAACTTTATAAAACAATCTGGACTAAGAACAGTACAAGTGTACAATAATTGCTACTTTGACCAGTGCATCAAATAAGTGGTCTTTACTCAAAGCTTTTCCTGGTCTCTGCCAATTTTCTTCGAAGGAGATTCCATAATTAGTAAAACGCGTACACAGATATATTTACCAAGTCAATTAGGGTTTATTCACACATGGTACATATGAAGTCGTCTCCTGTCTTTTCGATCTCAGGAAACTTCCTCATCTTCTGTTAGTACATATTTACCAAGTCAATTAGGTTTACGGCCCTCGTTTATTTTACCGATTCGAGTTTTTAGTTTTAAATTTTTACAGTAAAAAATTCTCAGAAAATATCACATCAACTTTTTCTGCTATAGTGAAAAGCTCTCAGAAAATGTTATATCTCAGCTCGAATTAAAAACTCGAATCCGCGAAGTGAACGAGGCAATGGTTTTTTTTTATACTACGTGAAGGACACGTGTCATGCATACAAAAAATAATAGTGTATTAAGTATAAATTATCAAGCTACTATTAAAAACATATAACATATCAATATAAAATTTCAAAAAGAAACGAAATTTTTTTAGAAAAAAATTAAAATTTTAGGTCAAGTAGTAAAAAAAGATAAAAAAAAGAACTAAAATAAAAAATAAATAAAAAAATAAGTAAAAAAATTAAAATAAAAAGATAAATAAGTTTTAGGGTAAAAAAAATTAAAATGAAAGGAAAATAAAATTTCAGGACAAAAGTAAAAAATTGTGAAAAATGAGAAATGAAAAAATAAATAAGTTTTAAGATATACGGGAAAAAATATCCAAGTAAAAAAATACAAAATTTTAGGAAAAAAAAGCAAAAAGAAAAAAAGGAGATTAAAATCGTGGAGAGAAAAAAAAAATACAAAAATAAAAATAAAAACAAAAAAACTGTGTCACTTATTGTTCACGCGTTTTCTACCAAATCGTGGCTGTTTTGATCGAAACTGCGCGGCAACATTAAAAGCGCAAGCGCCCTCTTATATAGATAAAGGAAAGTCCGGGGAGCTAGGAAGCAACCAACATTATACTTTCAAATGGAGTACCACTGCAAACTGGTTGAGGCAGCTCGTACGGGCAACGTCGAAGCATTACACGACCTGATTAAAGAAAATCCCTTTGTTCTCTCCGACTATGCACTCGTCTCTCCGCATGAGAATCCACTGCACGTTGCTACAAAAGCAGGGCAGCTTGGTTTTGTGCGAGAAATTATTAGATTAAAGACCGAATCGGCGGAGGAACCAAACAGAGAAGGCTTCAGGCCGCTGGATATAGCTTCGGCGTTTGGGCATGTAGAGATAGTGAAAGAGCTTGTAACAAGTACCGGAAATGATATATGTCGTTTGAAGGGAAAAGATGGAAAAACAGCTATTCATTATGCTGCTATCAGTGGCAGGCTTGAGGTTATGGACGAGCTGCTTTCTTTCTCTGCGGAATGTGTTACGGATGTGACGGTTCTCGGAGAAACTGCGCTTCATTTGGCTGTGAAATACTATAAAGTTGAGGCCTTGAGAAACTTAGTGGAATGGCTGGAAAAGCTTGGATTGGAAGAGATAGTCAACTGGTTTGATAAAGATGGCAACTCAGTTTTGCACCTTGCAGTCTCTAAAAAACAACATGAGGTGAGATTTAAGCTCTATCTTGGCTTCCGTTGCCGCATCTTGTCTATTTTAGGCTTTTAGCTCTATTTTAGTTTTAAAATATATTAGCCATGTCAGAGAAAATCTAAAGTGCTTAAGCATGAAATGATTTTTTAATTTAGTGTAAAATTGAAAAATGATTTTACGGAAATAAGATTGATTTTTTAATTTAGTGTAAAATTGAAGAAAAATAAAACATATTAAAAATGCTTTTTTAATTGTACGAAAATTAAAGTCATTTTTCATTCTAAAAGTACTACTTACTGAAGGTCATGAAATGCTTAAGCATGAAATGCTATGATTACGATCATTTATATTATAATTATATATGATTAATCTCAGAATGAGGAGTCTAAGCTAATTAATCTCATGATATGCAGAGTGTAGATTTTCTACTTAACAACAACAGTACTATTTCCAACACCCTCAAATTGAACGAAACAAACACATGGGGTCTAACAGCAATGGACATAATGGACTTACTGATGGAGAATCCAATTGATGTCCAACTCCGGGAACGCCTCAGACTTGCTGGAGCCCTTAGGGCTCGGGATATAGCAAACTCCATACCTTCCACACCTATTAGTAATCCTCCAGTACCACAAGTCACTGTCAATGTCCACAACAATCTTCCAAACCCTGTCGCCGCAAAAGTGGACTGGATCAGGTATTTTCAGTTTCAGAAGAAGCGGGACTCACCAAGTGACACCCGCAATGCGCTTCTTGTTGTGGCTGCGCTGATAGCCACTGTCACCTTCCAAGCAGGAGTAAATCCTCCTGGCGGTTTTGTTGCGGAGAAATCCCAGCCAAACGTTAATTCAACCAACACTACTTCTTATGCACCTCCACCGTCATCTCCTGATCAGTCGTATAGTCCAGTTAGTACTGTAGGATTGTCTGCAATTTCTGCAGCTTTGGGCAGCATCGCGACATCAGATTGGTTCTTGTTTGGGAACTCTTTGGGTTTTGCAGCATCAGTCAATGTCCTAATCTATCTCACGGCTGGGTTTCCTTTCCAAAGAGAGCTTCAAATTTCCTTATACTCAATGATGTTTGCTTATGGTTGTTCAGTGAATGATATTCAGCCAAAAGAAATTGCTAGATGTCTCATTCTCGCAATAGCTTTTCTTGTACCTATTCTGGTAAGATGGCCTCCGAGATGGGCAGTAAAACTTTGGGGATACTACAAGACTGAAGCTGGTACGGTAAATGCACGAGGTTGATACATGTGTTCAAAAATTTACAATTTCTATTAGAGGAACGTAGTAAAGGGGCGATTAATAATTATCATCGTCTTATATAACTCTTGTCACACTCAGCAAAACATGTTTTATTTGTAAAGCCATTGTCTCTTTTATTTGCTTTCTGATGGCATCGTTTGTTGTCGTTTGTAAGTTTTGCTATGAATTGTAATCGTTTGTAATTTGTATATTCTTGTTGTTTATTATAGTTATCGTCGTTTGTTGTTTGATGTCGTTTTCTATGTTTTGTCGTTTTTAATTGTGTCGTTTTCAGAAACCATTCTTTCGTTCGTTGGCCTCTGTAGCTATTGTCGTTCTAGAAATGTTGTCGTTTTCCTGAAATGTTGTTGTTTTATGTTTACTGTCGTTTTTTAGCACTCATGTCGTAGTAGAACATGCTTTCTTGGTTTAGGCTTCTCTCCGTCGTATATGTATGCCTTTTTTATACTGCTTTCCTTTTTCCTTTTGAGAGCATTGTTCTTTTCTTTTCTTTTTTTTTTGAAATTATATTTTTAATAAAAAAAGATTTTCATAATTGTCTCCTGAACTATGTAGCTTAATTTAAAGTGCCTCAAATTTTTTAAAACGGTTCAAAACACCCCCAAAATAGTTAAAAATATCAAATTCCGTCTATAACATTAACATATTTGTATAAAGGAAAAAAAAAAAAAAAACCTCAACTACCATACCCTTTCCGCAATGACACCACCACCTCCCCTTCTGGCAACCCAACCCACCCCACAACCACCCTCTCGACTCAGCCCACCCCTCAGTTCAGCGGCCCACCTCCCACCTTGATGGCCAGAGTCGTCGCCGCAACTTCTTCATTGTTGAAATCAGATCTTGTCCTCTCTCACTGCCCATCTCTCTGTCATCGTTCTCTCATCTCTGCCTCGTCGAGCCTTAACCAATCGTCGTATTCACCGATGATAATAACGTCTCTATTATCAGATATCCGATCTCTGTCAACCGCCACAACTGTCGATGAACCTAGCTCGTAGTACGAAGACCAGATCGTCGAACCTTCCAACACCGCATTGAAACCCATATCCTGTGCTCGCCAAAGAAGTCCAATTAGACCACGAGGGGCTTTCGTGGACGAAACCTAGATCTCCTTGGCTTGGTTGGTTTAAGAGATTTCAGTTTTTTTTTTTTTTTTATTTGAGCAAAAATAACCCGTTTAACGGTCTTCTCTCAAGTAAATTACAGTAACTGTTGTAAATTAATTAAATGACCAGTTTGAATTATTGATAAACTCAAACAAGACAAAAATAGAGAAAGGCATCTTGACATTGTTCATCTTCAATAGCTCCAGTAATGAAAATTGTTCATTTTCATTGGCTTTGACAACAAACTTGTGAGTAGAATATGAATGAGAAAAATCTCATTTCAATAAAACTCACATTTAAGTAAAATGTAAAAATATTGGTCAATTTTTAATACAGGTGAGGTGTATAAAAAAGTTCATCCAACTTGATTTTCTCTTTTTATTTTCAAATTTTATGGTTTTTATTATGTTTCTAAATAAAAAGAGTATAAAAGTCATGTTACGTATTTTTTAAACCTTTTTTTACTTGCCACCTGGGCACTTCCATTAGTGCCCATTAGCTTCATAAATGGAAGTAGATGGAGAAAGTTATTTGAGTCATTTTTTTATAGATGGAAAAAGTAAGAGGCACATTAAAATGAGGTACATATTTTATGAGCATTTATGAAATTAATGTAAAAAAAAATTCTGAATTGTTGTCGTTTTATAGCACTCATTTAGGTGTTAATCTGACTAGGTACGCTTTCACGATGAAGAGTCATTTTTTGTTGTACGGGAAAAAAAATTTACTTACATGGTCTTATCATTTAAGAGGACGTTTGGTTGGAGAATTCAAACCATGTGATTCGAATAATTTTCAATTTACGTGAATTTTTTATGAGATAAAATACTATAACGAACCACGAATCATGAGTCGTATCAGGCAACGAATCCCTCTACCAACCATCCTCTAAATATCCGTTGTAAAATCCCAAAAAGCTGAGTGGATTATGCCTTATGTCTTATATGAGATATCGTTCCCGCTACTTTTTGAAACATAAATTGAGACTGAGCTCCAAATAAATAAGCAGATAAACAAATTTTCCTGCAATATTCTTTTACTCAAACAATTATTCAACTTCTCAAACTTTGTAATTTGCAAAATTGTTGAACAAGCCCAGCAAATCCCACCTGTATTTTTGTATATCCAAGTGAACTATTCACATGTGCTGCATAAGAGACAATTTTCCCTCTGAAACTGTACCTAATCACAACTGTGCATAAATTATACGTCCTCACACTGTAAAGAGCAGTAAAATATATAAAATATGTGTATAGTTGTGACGACCCTCCTATGAGGCCGCCATCGTAACTTGAACTTTAACTTGTACTTACTGGAGTTTCTTAAAAATTTGTGGAACATTTTTTTTTAATATAAGAAGAAATACTTTCATAATTTGTAACAATAGTTTCAAATAAGTGAATCACTAAATTTCTTAAAGCTTTTCTTAATTTTAGTTAAGATAAAACCTTTTAGAAATATCCTTTAACGGAATAGCATTTGAACTCTTGTTTCAAATACTCTTTAAAAGCTTTTCTAAAACTAGTCATTTCAATCGGCCATCTCATTTGACTTTAAAACGGATTTCGTGAGAAATCTTAAATTCAAGTACATCTTAAAGTCCTTCTAAAATTACTCATTTAAATCGTCATGTTTAAAATTCATTTATTTGTTGCATGTACTGTTGCAACGTTCTAAAACTTAAATACTCAAAACTAGGGTTGTTAGCTACAACCTTGGTTTTCTTAACATACATATATACGTATACTTTTTTAAACATACATACTTGAAACCTTTGAATCATATAGACATATACATGATCTTTCTTAAACTTACTGCGGAAAATAACTGCGTGAGCGGTATCCATTCCCATATCCACCATTCGTCCGCTGCTCACCATTGCCCTTCAAGAATTGCTGATAGGTTTCTTACCTACAGCATGAACATATCTGATTGAGCTTTCACTCAGCAAGTAGGAACTATATCTCACAAAATAACTGTAAGTACACATGAATAAATATGCATGAGCTGATTATGTTTGATTATGATGTTTTATCATAGTCTTATTATCTTATCTTATCTTTCTTATCTTTTCTTTCTTATGGGCCCGAGTGCTCATGTACCACTTGCGCACAATCATCGGGATGTGAGGGTTTGCAAGGTCCCCCGCGACACCGTGATTATAACTTGAATGCCTCCCTTAAGTCAGAGGACATTCCCTTTTTTTTTCTTTTCTCCCTTGTGGAGCTTGAATTACCTCCCTTAGGTCGGAGGCTGGTACGGCACTCAACTGAGATTATTCTTATAAGTTCTTCTTGACTTATTAAGGTGTACGCAGCATGACATGACATCGCATACAATACTTAAAGCATGAACATGTATATATATAACATGTGTAAATTTTTTCTTTAAAATCTATTCATACTGTAGGCGAGATTCCTACTTACCTGATTTACAGAGCTGGAATCCACTTTTCGCCAAACAGTCTATTCTCTTACTTTCTTATTTCTGAAAATGAACACCCATTGAGAGTGTGAGATTAATTGTCGTTTGCTATTCTATTTTAGCAACTTATGAAGGAATCTAACCCTTTTCTTATGGCCAGTATTCCTTTCCTTTTCTGAAGGATAATTTACTATAAGAATCGATTAGTTAAATCCTCAAAATCTTATTTTCCTTAATTGCCCTTAACATATTTTTGTCTAGATTGAAAATCATTTACCCAATCTAGTAACTTATTCTGCATAATTTTTCTCATTGGACTTATTATGATATTGAGGCCCAATTTGGCCTAGAAACTTATTAACGGCATTCTAACTCTTAGGCCGCTGAAATTTAAACTCAAACAGAGTCTCTTAAATCAATGCGGGCGTTGGACCCACATCAAATCCTCGAAATCCTAAGGACCTATCGTGTTGGGCTCGTAGGTGCCCGTCGGGATGATTTGCTCGATAACCCACTAAGTTCTTTAAAGAAAGCATTTTTTCTTGAAAACTTCCTTTATGAATACTTTCATTAAAATGAGGTTTAATGTCATTGTATTTTACTGAAATTCTATCTCGGGTTCTTTTATAACTTTTTGTTGAAACCGACACTGTTTTAGTTTTGTCTCGTTAAAAACTGTGTAGTTTCTGAAATCTGTGCTTTACTATATCTTCGAGTCGGATTTCAAAATTTTGTTCTTCATAAAAATTTCTCATATCATCGAGATATAAAATTGTCATTTTTGGTGAAAGTTGAAATTCGGCCTCTAAAGGCCCCGTTTGGTTGAAAGCCTTAGCTGCTGTTTTTCTTGAAACTGTTTTAGTAAAAAACTATGCCGTTTCCGGAATCTGTGTTTTAGCACCTCTTAGGGTCGGATTTTGAAAATCTTTTCTGCATCAAATTTCTTCATCTCGTTGAAATATAAAATTGTCACTTTTGTGAAAAATCCAGATTCAGCTTTTAAAAGTCTCGTTTTGGCTGAAGCAGTTTTGTTCCCGAAACTGTTTTGGACTGCCTGTGCTGTTTTCAAAAAATGGCTTAAAACTTGCATTTAGAGTTAAAATTAGGTTTTGTCATAGTAACCGAAAATGTTCAAAACATCCAGGGCTATAAGTTCAAGCTTTAAAACATTAAAAACTCTCGCTCTATGGTCCTCATTTTCGCGGTCAAAGTCACCGGAAAATTTTTCCTCTAATCCGAAAATAAGCAACTTAAATCAAGCATAAACATACCACATCAAGCTAACCTAACTCACAAAACTAACATAAAACTCACACACCCTTATTACAATCTTATCTCTTCAAGAACCACAAATTTACATCCATAAATCCAAGCTTAAAGTTGGCTAAGAAATTAATGGAGGGGAGTTTAAAACTTACCCTTGAAGAATTCTCTCTTTCTCTTGAAAAACCCTTGAACTCCTCTAGGATTGTTAATGGCTTGAAACTATAAGAGTATAAGGAAATTTGAGAAGAATATTTCTCTATTTCAAACTTTCCCAAAACATAAAAAAAAAAGAGGATTTAGAGTTTATACCCTTGGAGAAATGATTGTCTAGACTCCTCCTAGATTCTTTGATCTCCTTCTTCTTCTTCTATGGTTTGCTAGTGGCTCAAGATTGGGAGAGTGGGAGAAAATATTTGATAGGAAATGGAGAGTGTGTGGCCGGATTTTTGAGTGGGGAAAAAGCTAGGAGAAAAAAAATAAAGCTTATCCTATGTTGGTTCCTTTTATAGGCAACTTGGAAATTATTTTTTTAACATCACATCAACTCCTTCAATCAACCAAATTTTGGTTCAATTTCCCCCTTTCTTGGCCGGTTATGGAAGGAGAAAAGGAGAAGCAAAATTGTCATTAATCCCCCTTCAACCACTACCATCACATCACACCATAACTTGTAACCTTTTATCACATTCAACTAGCCAAATTTTGACTCTATTTCTACTATACATGGGCGGCCAAGTGGAGAATAGGAGAGAGAAAAATAAATCCTACCCCTTGTACTTTTGTCCACTCTCTTAAGTTTTTTCTTGAAACTGCTAAAAATTATACTGACTGTAGGTAAGTAACTTAGCCGACAGGAAATTCTAGTTTCTGACGATTCCTTTTCTACTGCTTATTTACAATTTAATATTAATTCCCGACTACTTCGGGATCACATTAAATTCTCACTCGCGTAATATCTTGAACTGTTTCAAGTCTTGAAATTAATTCTAGACTGAACAAATTCTAAATTTAACTTTTCTGCATTAAATCCCGGGAATGACACTGTTTCTGACAGTGTCCACTCCCGAGCTCACACTGTACCCTTCCACTATGGGTATTTATCTTGTGACTTTAACTTAGCTGTCTGGCAATTAGGGATTTTCTCTTCTTTAAAATGTCATTGCATTTTTTTTATACGCTGCTAACATCATGTTGTGTTTGGAGATTCTTGAAATTAAGATTCTCAAACTATACTTGTACTGAAAATTATTCTGCCTTAAAGTACGGCAATAATTTATCGATCGAATTTACTTGATCGAAAACATGAACTTAACATGAAATCTGCTACAGAATTTAGGAATACAGATATTAATTCCATAAATCCTTCAGTCACATAATATTTTCTAGAAAAATCTTTAGCTTAAATAAATAAATTGTATTATTTAAAGTCTAGAATTTTCTCAATCATTATAATAGTCTCATCAAAAACCATATTGTATCTATAGTTTCCCATCAAGGGGTCTCTGCAGTGTCCTCAAGATGTACATCAAAAACTCATTCCAAGTATCAATGGGACCCGGCAAGCACCAATGGACACAGTCAGCGATTGTCATGTTCCTGTGTGGTGAGTGTCCATAGAAGTTGGGGTGTCCATCAGGTCTCATAAACATAGCTTCAGTTGTGTCCATCATCCTAAACTGAAGACCTTTTTGTTTCCCAAGCTCTTCCGCTGCTCTAAACTCCTCCACTTGAATTGAGTTCATATCCCAGATGTACTGATAAGTGGCCTTCTCCACTTCTCCTCTTCCGAAAGGCCTACTCCTCTCACAACTCCCTCCGTCGTTCCACGCCCCGTTCTCGAAATGCGCGGGCGAAAAAGTCCTCATGAATGTCACCCCCTTGTAGAGCTCAAGGCCTAGAAGTGTCCTAAACACTGTCCGGAAGGCCCTCCTGTATATATAATGGGGAGTGAGTTCAGTGATGTTTTTTTCCATACATTTCGAGCACCCGATGAGCCTGCCGCCCTCGTGTAACATGAGCGGCCGGAAGAACCATTGCCCCGCGGAGACGATCACATAGTCGAATTTCTCAACCTCCGTTGACCATCCCTCATTAGGCTCATCCAAGTAGAGATTCATCCTGCTGTTGCCTGAATAGACTTTGGGGTCTGTCTCTCTGGTTTTGACCAAAAATGGCGCCCAAAGTACTCCTATTGTGAAATTGTATTCCGGGTAGATAAAGCGCTTGAAATATTCTGTATTGTTGTAGTATTTCTCTGAGACATCCTCTGGATAAGCCACCTAATTGAAAAAACATGAATTTGCATATAAAATAGAGGGTTATTATATCCAAAAAAAAAATAAAGAGAAAATTAAAAATGGCTTAGTTTTCAATGCTTACTTTGCCAAGAAGGCACACCAAAGAATTCATTTGGTTTCTTCCAACGGAATCTCCAAGGAAGGCCAAAGATTTCCCTCTAACAAGCTCAAGAAACTCAACAGCATCAAACAAAGGAAGCTCACAATCATCTGGCTTCCACCTCCATTGCAAGAACTCCTGGTCTGGTCTCCCAAACTTCATACAATTCTGCTGATCAATAATCCAAGGGCAACTCCCATTTGTGTAGTAAGGCTCTTCAAGATATGGAACCCAAGTTCCATTAAACACATCACAAGTTTTGGCTGAATATTGATCTTTGCCCTTTAAGCTATCAACATCATTCTCTGGAGATGGCAATGGTATTGAAGGAGGAGAAGGGTTTTTGAGACAGAATGGGAATGAAGTGAGAAGAATGAAGAAAAAAATTAGAAAAATAACCCTTTTGTAAGAATTGGGTTGTGGGATTTTAACACTATGAAGGTTTGAATGGGGTGGTACTTCATGGTGAAAATTTGTGTGAAGCAGAGACAATATGGATTGGTTTTGGCATGTATATATTGGTTCAGTGGTACTACTTGTGCCTTGTCAGCAGAATACTGTGGTTAATGGCTGTTGTCCTTGAATGGTTTAATACACTTAATTAATTAGCTTTTTCTAAAGCAGCTTTTCTGGCTTGACTTAACAACCAGATTAAACATTATGATTCAACTTTATTAAATCTTTTGGTGAAACATCATTGTTCATAATTAAGATGCTAAGATGCTAATTTTTGAGTTAAATTTGAGTTATAATTTGAGTTGAACTTGTAACTTGAGTTTGTGTTTGGTTGTGTACATTTGAGTTATGATTTGAGATAAAAATCTTTTTGAGTTTGTGTTTGAGTGAGTCAAAACTTGAATTTATATTTAGATAGTATTTTAATAAAAACTCAATGCTGATGAAAAATTTTAATAGGGTATATGGGTCGGGTTTTATTCGTCTTTTCGTTGTCAACGCATAGAAAAAAAAATCATATCAATCAGAATTAAAACGAAAAAGTTATAACATTTTTAAGAATAGAAAAAATATTGTTCATTAATTTGAGTTCGAGTTTCTGAACTCGAGTTGAAGGAGAAACTTAGAGTCCGTTTGGTTGGAGGATTTGTTCTCTGATTCGAATCATGGTTCATGGTTCACTACAATATTTTCTCTCACAAAAAACACACGTAAATAAAAAATGGTTATAATCGCATGGTTCTAATCCATGAACCAAACGGACTCTTAAACTCGAGTTTTAGTCTTAAATTCGAGTTTGAACTCGAATTTAAACTTGAGTTTAAACTTAAAAGAACATGAAGTCGAATAAAATTGTAACTCAAGTTGTATTTTTTTGAGTTTTTCACTCAAAAGAACAAGCCTAAATATCTCATGCCAAATCATATATTTTGATTAATGCCTTTTGAACTTGCTTTTTTTTTTTTTAATGGCCTTTTGAACTTGCTTTTTGGTATTACGGTTTATGGAATGTGGATTTGTTTCACTGAGGTTGAATTTCAATTTCGTGGGCTTTGAGTTAAACCATGTAATTTAGGATTGCTTCTGTTTTCGTGGACGTGGAAAGTTTGTTATGAGCGGCAAGGTCAATTTTTTTTTTTTTTTTTTTTTTTTTTTGACGTTCTTTCCAAGCAATTGAAAACCACAAGTAGACAATTTGACCAAAAGGTCAATGTTATAAAATATAACGTTAATTAATTTATCAATTTTGCACATTTATCATAAACGTCCATAAAGTAGAAAATTATGCTACCGGTGTTCTTTGTACAAACGGCTGACTCCCATTTTAAATAGGGGAATTTTCTCCTCGTTTTTTTGTTTCATCGTTTTGTGTGCTATTTTTTTTTTTTTTTTTTTTGCCGACCGAGGTACAGAGAATATTTGCTGTTACATAATTGATTAAAAATTTCCGAGTGATTAAAAGGATAAAAGGACAAACATATTTTATTGAAAGTAGAAAGTAGATTGCTATTGGCTTCTCTTGTCCCCACACATTGTGTGCGTATATATATTCTTGTGCATAGTGTATATACAAAAAGCAATTATATGTCATAATTATTTCTAATCATCCCACAATGAAAACCATTTCAATTTTTAAAGAGTTTAAAATATTATGGCTCAGAAAAGGTACTAATCTAGTCTTATACTCTAAAGAGTTTATTATATTATGGCTCAGAAAAGGTTGTAATCTAGTCTAAATATACTATAGTGTATATAATACATATTGGTTTTATCACATTGCTAGGGAAGTTTTTAGGGCTCTGGGTGTATGTGCATGTATACATATATACATACATACATACATATATATATATATATATATACACACATATGATAAAAAAAAAATATAACATTGAGTATGAGAATAGCAATATGATCAAATTAATTTATGTCCCTTTGATTTCTCACTTCATAGGCTCATATTTTTTGTATTAATTACTAGGAGCCTTTGAGTCACTTCAAGGTTGTTACACATAAAATACCATGGGGCCAAAATTTGTGAAAATTTGATGATCATGTAGAGATACAGCGCCAAGTTATGCATAACAAACTGGAGTGGCTTAGGAGTGAAGTCGCTCATGATGATTTGTTAATCGCGTTGTAGAAAAATTAAAAGTTGACATTTTTTACTGTGAGACCTTAAAAAAAACCTCTATTAGTGGAATCTCTACTTTTAACCGTTGAATTAATTTTTCAATATTTATATCTATAATAAGAGTAATTTTGTGCAACGTGTTGTAAATTTTTAATACGAAGATGTATAAATATAATTATTAAAAAATTAATCCACCGATTGAAAATAAGAGTTCTACCTATGGATTTTTTTTTTTGGGGTTTCCACTATAGAGGTTGCCCTTAAAAGTTATTTACCTGGTCTTAAAAATGCGACTTGATCTCTAGCACTGCTTTATTGTCTGGTTCATAGGGTTTAGGGTAAAAAATTTAAATAAAAATTTAAAGTTATAAGAAAATATTGTAATAAAAAGATTTAAGTAGTAATTTAAACTTTATAAAACAATCTGGACTAAGAACAGTACAAGTGCATCAAATAAGTGGTCTTTACTCAAAGCTTTTCCTGGATTGCTACTTTGACCAGTGCATCAAATAAGTGGTCTTTACTCAAAGCTTTTCCTGGTCTCTGCCAATTTTCTATCGAAGGAGATTCCATAAATTGGTAAAACGCGTACAAATATATTTACCAAGACAATTAGGTTTATTCACACACGGCACATATGAAGTCGTCTCCTGTCTTTTCGATCTCAGAAAACTTCCTCATCTTCTGTTTGTACATATAGGTATGAGCTGAGACACAAGTGGCAACGTGTATGTAAAGTTATTTGGTTTTTTTCTTTTTTTTTTTATACTAGGTGAAGGACACGCGTCATGCATACAAAAAATAATAGTGTATTAAGTATAAATTATCAAGCTACTATTAAAAACATATAACATATCAATACAAAATTTCAAAAAGAAACGAAATATTTTAAGAAAAAAAATTAAAATTTTAGGTCAAGTAGTAAAAAAAGATAAAAAAAAACTAAAATGAAAAAATAAATAAAAAAATTAAAATAAAAAGATAAATAAGTTTTAGGGTAAAAAAATTAAAATGAAAGGAAAATAAAATTTCAGGACAAAAGTAAAAAATTGTGAAAAATGAGAAATGAAAAAATAAATAAGTTTTAAGATATATGGGAAAAAATATCTAACTAAAAAAATACAAAATTTTAGGAAAAAAAGCAAAAAGAAAAAAACAAATACAAAAATACAATCGTGGAGAGAAAAAAAAATACAAAAATAAAAATAAAAACAAAAAAACTGTGTCACTTCTTGTTCACGCATTTTCTACCAAAACGTCGCTGTTTTGATTGAAACTGCGTGGCAACATTGAAACTGCCCTCTTATATAGATAAAGGAAAGTCTGGGGAGCTAGGAAGCAACCAACATTATACTTTCAAATGGAGTACCACTGCAGACTGGTTGAGGCAGCTCGTATGGGCAACGTCGAAGCATTACACGACCTGATTAAAGAAAATCCCTTTGTTCTCTCCGACTATGCACTCGTCTCTCTGCATGAGAATCCACTGCACGTTGCTACAAAAGCAGGGCAGCTTGGTTTTGTGCGAGAAATTATTAGATTAAAGCCCGAATCGGCGGAGGAACCAAACAGAGAAGGCTTCAGGCCGCTGGATATAGCTTCGGCGTTTGGGCATGTAGAGATAGTGAAAGAGCTTGTAACAAGTACTGGAAATGATATATGTCGTTTGAAGGGAAAAGATGGAAAAACGGCTATTCATTATGCTGCTAGCAGTGGCAGGCTTGAGGTTATGGACGATCTGCTTTCTTTCTCTGCGGAATGTGTTACGGATGTGACAGTTCTCGGAGAAACTGCGCTTCATTTGGCTGTGAAATACTATAAAGTTGAGGCCTTGAGAAACTTAGTGGAATGGCTGGAAAAGCTTGGATTGGAAGAGATAGTCTGTTAGCCGAAATAGGATAATACAAAGAAGATCAAAATTATAGGGAAATGGAAAAACTGAAATTGTACAATGCAAATTCAACATTTCTACCAAACTCAGAATTGAAAGTTGCAAGGATGTCGAGGCACGTGGATCACGTTTTTCTTAAAACAGATTCGTCCCCTCCGGCGTGTGCTTGAGGTTACGTTGGACGTCCGTCTCTCAGGATACAATGACAACGACGGTAGCTCGATGCACTTTCAGAACCGCCCAGCGAACTAGAATAGGATCTTTCCTCTATCACCAAAACCGAACAACAAGAACTTACACAAAGGAATTCGGAAAAACAAAAGAGACGAGAGAGAGTGAGAATGTTCTGTGGAGGTGTGTCCAATGTTCATGTGAAGTATGTCCTTATATAGGGTCTAAAATCTGGGTGTTACAACCCAGATTTAATCCCGGATTAATGGTGTTAAAAACAGTCATTACTCTGCAATATTAAGAGGCAAAACCGGTAGAAATCTCATGATGAATCTGGCCTCATACTGCATACTAATTCAGTTTTTTGAGGATGAAAACCGAAGCCATCAAAGCTTAATTTGGTTTGTCTCCATTGATCACCATTAAGCCCCCATTATGGGCATTTAGCAGCCATTAAGCACAACTTTATGGTAAGACCAAACGGCTGGAAGCAAAAAATAAAAAGAAAAATTGCAAAAATAGGCTCTCTACGCGTGAGAAAGCCTCTATGGTATACATGCTTACCTAGGCTTCAAAGTACAATTACTTATAAACACCACATTGGCTTCACTCCTAGCCAATGTGGGACTTTTGTAATTTTCTTCTACATTTACTATTCCAAGTAACATACTTAGATCATCAATTTCTCATTCACCCAAAAACCATTTTGAGTGTATGAATACTCGATTTCGATCTCTTCACGACAGATAACGCAAATCCATCGAGACCCGTCCCAAAAATTTATTGGGCCCCATCCGAATATGGGCCTCAAAATGGGCCTTTAAAATGGCTTAACAAGCCATTTTTTCCAACAATCCCCCACATGAATGAAAATTGACCCACGACAAGAAAAACACAAACTCGACACGGTGATAGAGTGCTGCGGTCTATGCCTGCAAAAGATAGGTAGGCGTTACCCTTTGAACCTTCCCTTGTGAGAATACAAAAACTTTACTGGCTGACCAGTAGACGCGATGTCTTTGAACTGTTCTGCCTTCGTGTAAACGTTATTATACTTCACACAGACATCTTCCTGACACAGTTCTGTTCTCATGGTTATGTTTGTTTTCGCCATGAACATCTACCTGGTTCTGCAAGAGTTTCTAAAGAATTGAGCCCTCACAATTCTCCTTTGAAGCGGCCGCACTTCTCTCTCACATAGGTGATTTCTTAATGAAGAGTAACCCGTATTACTCCGCTCGGATTCTTGACGTATCCGACGCATAAGAATCATTAAAACCTAATGTTTAACCTTTTCCTCGTACAGGTTTCACTGTTATCATCATAGGAATAGGCTGGGGTTACCCCCACAGTGAACTCAGCCGGTCTAGACAATTTAGTTGTCCCATTGAACCTAGATCTTGGGATCTCCAGTCAGCTAGGTTGGGTTTCCATTGCTTCAACCTATTTTTCCATGGGCTTCAATCTCATTCCTCTAGATGTTTTTTCAACTTGATCTCCAGTCGCTGTGTATGCAAATTACAGGTACAGGCTTTGGCCAATCCAGAATGTCCTCCAAGAAATGTCTAAGCCATTCAACTTCTTCGCCACATTTATCCAAAGCAACAAACTCAGCTTCCATCGTGGATCTGGTTATTACCGTTTGCTTAGAGGATTTCCATGAAACAGCTGCACCACCCAAGGTGAATACATATCCACTGGTAGCCTTAGAGTCCTGTGTATCAGATATCCAACTCGCGTCAGAGTATCCTTCTAAAACACCAGGCTCTCTTGTGAAATGCAATCCATATTC